AGAGTAACAATGACAACAAGTGCAGCAGCAGTAACAGCAGATAACAAAATCCCAATGCAAGATGCAGTTATAGCCAATGGGAAGAGGTAACAAAATGACAGCAACAAAGCAGGGGAGTGGGCTCAGGAATCAAACAGTCTAACTCCAAAAGAAAACAACCAATAAGAACCAGACAGCAGAATCCTAGCTGATACTTGAAGAAATCAGCACTTATTTGAAACAGGGTAAACAAACTGGGAATCGAACAAACAACAGGAAGAAAACAGCTTCTGATTTTTGTGATATCCCTCTCCCTGTCTCCTTTCTTTTCAAAATCCAATGTCAATCTTCAGTTTTGAAAATATGCTTGAGTTATCAGAAAGAAATCCTTTCCAGTTTTTCTGGGTTTTTTTTTCCAGAATTTTCAGTTCTCAAATATTCAATCTGAGTTCTGTCTCTTTTGTGTGTCGTGTGTGTGCATGTATCCCTCAATGTGTATCACCCTCTCTTTCTTTCAAAAATATTCCTCACAGTGTGCCTCCCTCTATTATGTGTGTGTTTTTTTTTTCTAATCTTAGGATCTGTGTGTCTATCTCCCTATAGATGTCCTCCCCCCATTTATAAGCCTTAACACTACCCCTTTTAACAGCCTGTTTAGAATATCACCATACCCCTCACATATGTCTTCCATTTTCAGTTCCATTTTAGCTAATTAAGTATTAAACCCCATCAACATTCCCTGGCAGACTTGNATATATATATATAAGAAGGAATCAGCCACTTCCTCAAACGATGAGAAAAAAGCTCTTACCATGATGATGTTTGTTGATCTTTGATAAAAGGAAGAAAGCAAGAATAGTAACACATACACTTTTTTTTCGTTTTTACAAAATTTGAGACGTACGTAAGTATATATAATGCAAATAAAGCAAAAAGGACATACAGAAAAAGAGACTTTCTTCCCACCTCACCTATATGATATGATTAATACTAATAACTAACCTAAGAGAAGAAAACCGATACTTCTAGCAACCATCTATGATATATCTGCTTTCCCCCCACCCACACCCAAACACACACTCTTCTTTTCTAAACCTTTCTATACTACTTACGAAAATTAATTTAATTAGGAGTGATTTGATTGGAAAAAAGTTATTCCAGAATTAATTATTTCGGAATTAGTTATTTCGGTATTAGTTATTCCTCCTTTCTATAAGAATAAAAAAATACTACAATTTCGGAATAACTAATCTCGGAATTAATTATATCGTATTTTTCTACCAACCAAACATAGGATAAACTCCTTTTAAACTTAGTCCCGAAATTAATTATTCTTTATCAGATGAGCCCTAGGGTTGGGTAAATCACCTTACACCTAGCATAGTTACTCATCCAAAAAAAGAAGAAGGAAACCGTTATCCCTCCCAATAATAACGGTGGAATAACCAACAAATAATCGCTGTCAATAAAATTTTGTCAAATCCAAAAAACAAAAAGAATAAACTAGTCTATCATCCATCCTCATTTTCAATTTCAACTACCATCAACTTAAACAAAAGACTCACTTCGTCAAAAGTAGAAAACCAAGAGCTATTTTCCCAAAATTTTCCAACAATTGTCCAATAGGAACATTTTATTATGTGTTTAGGTGCTCAATTGGAATACGCCTTAATTCGAATAATTAAATAAAATATGCAGGCAAGTTTAAGGGGTGTTTAATAATTCGCCAAAAAGACAGAAAGAAGGAAAAATTAATTAAATTACCATGGACATACAAGCAATTTAACAATTCTACTACCATGCATGAAAACTTCGTATAACTTAGAAGAAAGAAATAAAAACTAATTAAACCATTAGGAGTTTATAATTTCAAATTTTAACTAACGTGAACCAAATAAGTAAACAGAAAGCCAAAAACCATGCACCACCCCCACCAGTCATGGTGGCGGAGAAGCTTACCGCTTTTAGAGGTGAATCCACGCTCCGAGAACCGCGCGTAGCACTTGGTCATAAACATATCTCCCCAAGGTGAGGACCCACACTCACTTTTCAGCTGTCTGATCGCCTCCGATAAGCAATCATCACACTCACTCACACTCAAATCTTGTGTACACTGCGCCACAGCCTGAATTTTCCCCGACCCGCCAACTCTAAAATATTGACCCTGTGGCACAGCTCCTAAATACGTTAATACGGCGTCGTTCCGAGTCAACATTTCATTATCATCCATAATCGACGGTCCACATTTGTGCATGACAACACCTTTGTCTTCCACACCTAGAAAAGAAACATTATCGTACTTCACGAAACACCCATCTAACTGCAACGCGCCGCCGCACGTGGTGGTGCATAGCGTCCCGACTCTGCTCACCGCCGTAGCCACGCATTTCCGGCAGTCGGAGTTTCCCAAGTCGCCTCGGCACTGAAAGAGGCCGTAAACGATGTCGTTTTGACTCGAACCAGGTAGAGAAATCTTGAAGTTGTTGAAATTTGCGTAAGATGCTGAGTTGACTAGTGAAGTTAGAAGCGAATTAACGTTTGACTCGTAAACTGTACCAGGATTGTATTTCTGCTGTGAACATCCGCCATAAACAAAGGATTGTATCGAAGCATTAGATTGGTACGTGAAAAACAAGAATATAATTATCATATAAACAAGAAGAACATGAAGAGAAAATTCTTTGACATACAGCTTCATGTTTAGTTTTTTCTTCTTGGTGGTTGAAGTAATGGGCAGTGTTAAATTATAAGTATTTTATATGTGATTAAAGTTAAAGAGGTATGGGAAATGGACCAAGGGTCTATATATATATAGGACGACGAGTATAATTAGGGCATGAAAAAAGAAGAGAAAAATGTAAGTCTTTGGCGTTTGGTATAGTGAGGGGCTATAGATAACGGATACAGTTTTTATGGACAGAGAAAAATAATACAGTGTAGTTGTGCTTTTGTTTAGAAGTAGTGTTTACAAAGGCATTTTCTCATTTTGGCTTCTAATGCTTTTTCTCGTGGCTTTCATTTTTGTACGTACATATGGGTAAATGATATATATATAT